GCAGAAATGACTGTTGGTGCACATGGGATTTTGCTGCAGCAATTAGAATATTTAGATCATGTTAACTATCCCCCCCCATGGGAATAGGGGGAAATAGTTAACAAGGTTTGGATGAAATTTATTGAAATAACGTCAACCAATAGGAATGCGAATTGAAATAACGTCAATCAATAGGAATGCGACTGAACACATTTCAGAGAAATACAAAATCAATCCAGTTGAGCATAAATGAACTTTAAACCGGAAATACTGCCAAATGTGTTTTTATAGGGGGGAGAATCTTTACAAGGTACCATAGTTAACAAGGTGAATAGTTAACATGATCCGAAAATGTAATTCATTTCATTTCTTATCTGAAGGTTGAATTAAAATTTTATCAAGTTTTTGTGGTCACTATTGTATTTTGGCAAATCGATTTAATTTGATTTAGTGCTTCTTTTTGGGTTGTCTAATTTGATATCAGAGTTTCTCCTTAATTTGCTGAAAAACTCTCATACACATTGTTGAAACCCTACCATGCACGAAAATATTATAACCAGGCTTTTACTGATAAAATGTTTGCATAAGATTAAAGAGTGTCGAATTCGATTTTGATAATATTTGATTTGCGTTTGAGATGAGTCTGGTCAGAGTTAGTTTCGGCTAATAGGACACCGTTTCTTTGTCCAGTTATTCAATTTTCGGACGCGCAGGATCGTGTAATTCATTAGTCTAATACTGAAGCTTAGTCCTACTATTATTTTCTGCAGCCTTGAAATCAGGAAAAGCGATGTTAGGATGAGATCAACATTATTGTTCCGGCCATTGAAAATGCGGAGGAACTTTGGATTCGGGTGTGTTTTGGTTTTTTCATTTGTTTCAATATTTTTTCTGTTTTCCATGCAAAATCAGGTACCACTATAATTCATCGGACAGGGTCGAGTGATATATCATATTTAAGCCTCTTGTCTTGATTCGAGCGACATAACCTGTTTGAAAATTTTTTTATTTTGCGTCTTTTTTCGAGCGAGAAAAGCAATCGAGTAACTTTAGTTGTATATGAAAGTTAGAAGTTTAGGCTAAAAAAAATTGATTTTACTAATGAGGAAACTAGTTTTAAAAGCTTCATTCTCTAGCAAAAAAAAATAATTTTTCACCAATATTCGAAATTTTTAGTTAAAAAAATCGAAAAAAATATGAAATTTTATCGAATTTCTTTTTAATGTGTTTCTTTAAGACTATTAGATTCGTTTATCTTATGCCTAGTTCACTAGATTTCTTCGCGGTCGTATAGTTGTATCACCACATGACGTATCAAAAAGACATTGAATTGAAGAAAAACAGAAAAAAAAGTATCTTCTGAATTTTTTATGGTCGGTGCGTTGTGCTAATTGCACAGCTACCGGCTATCCTTGTTTTAATTGAAGTTAAAAGCGGTCTGATCAGTGAAATTAAATTAGTTTAATTTCAAAATTGGGCCAACTCTTGTCCGATATCTATAGCATTTGATGGCAGGAATTCTGATGTCAGTTTTGTAGTGAGATTTGTTTTTTCTCGGGGACCACTAGAATTTTAGAACTAATCACATCACGCAAGCCTGCGAACAAATTATGAAAACGAAATTTTTCATAAAAGTATGACAGTTCAGTGAAAAATTGTTTGTGAACATTTTTTAATGTTTTGTCGGACGAGAAACATGAAAATGTTGTTTCAATGTTTTTCAAAACATTGATTTAATTATAGTTTTGATGGCTCATGATTTAGTTTTACAAACGATTATTTTGCCGCTTATATTTAATTGTTCCGGCTTTTGAGACTTCTTGACTAAACAATTTTGACGGAAGTTTTTATATCATCTAAAAGATACTGCTATGCTGAACATAAAATAAACAAAATTTTCACCTGTATTTTTTCTACGTAAAGTAAGGGGGTGTGAAAATTGCTAATTTTGGTCAATTTGGGACAATTACAGAGCGATATATTGCTATCTTATAACACGCATAAGCTGCGAATTAAGGCATTCCATATTGAATTGAGATGAGTGCGGTCTGTATTTAGACAACCGCGTATTCAGACACTGTATTACAGGCGCGATTTTAGGGGGAGGGGGCACCGGGGGCACGTGCCCCCCCCCCTTTTGAAGGGAACCAAAAAAAGAACCAGTTTTTTCATACATATTTGAGTACATAATTTTCCGAAAAGCGCCTTCGGCGCACCATTTAATGACTATTTTTTCCTTGAAAAATCAGTTAAAGCGAAATATTTCATATTTCAGAGAGTTTATAACCAAACGGAATGTAAAATGGAATGAGTTCAAAAAATGGAATGAGTTTATCGTTGGAACTCTAGTCGTCGGTTCTTCTGGCTGAAACGGTTGATAATGTCGTCCAGGTCAATCTTGAGGTCTGAATGTACGTACATCAGTGCAAGTCCCGTCAGACGCTCTTCTCCCATTCTGGACCTCAGATACGTCACATGTGTCCTTTGGAAGGGGACCTCAGATGTGTCATTTGCGCGACACATCAGTTGTTTCGTCTGCGATCACTGTGAAAAACCTCGCTTTCTTGATCTTCTTGACGATTGTCTGTTGTATCTGGTCTCCGATGGCCCCAATGATCTCGTTCTGAGACTGCATGCCGAGGTAGGTAGCGTTTTTCTTGCAGGATATCAGGTGCTCTTTGAGGTCTTCGTCCCCACTGACCGCTCTGAATTGTAGAAGTGCTCTCAGGTTGCCACACTCGGCGTCAATGTCTTCCACCGTCTCTGGAACCGTCAGCGACCCAGAGTCTCGATGACCGCGGAGAGGAAGTCCCATCCGACCAGCAAAAACAATTGTGCTGACGATGGGCTTGAGGCGTTTCCGGTTTTCTGCAACTCTCTGATGAACCTGTTTGTCCAGTTGTTGATCTATTGACTTGGCGGGATGCTCGAATGCGTAGATAAAATCTACTGCGACCAGGGAGGCGTCCTTGTGGTAGTTTGTGTTGCAGTGGGCGTCGAAGTATCCCTCACTGCCTGTGAGCCTGCTGTATCGGGTGCATCCTTTGTTGATGAATTTTTGAAAAATTCTCAGGTTAAAGCTGGGGGTGTAGCTAAGAAACTCTTATCATATGAGGCCATTGGGCGTAGTTTTCTGAATTACGCAGCTCCTTTGTGAACACCTTGAATAAGTGAATCTCGTTGAAAGGATCTCCAAATTAGACATAACACAGCAATTAGAATTGTAACTGGCTGCACAAAACTGACTCTCTTGAACACCTTCATTGTGAAAATCAAATACTGCCTGAGAATTACGCAGAACAACCCCTTCCTACTATCCAAAAGATGACTGTTTTGCTTTCACTGAACTTATTTCAACAATGATAAATAAACTTTAAACACACTATGACTTTTTGAAAAATTCTCAGGTTAAAGCTGGGGGTGTAGCTAAGAAACTCTTATCATATGAGGCCATTGGGCGTAGTTTTCTGAATTACGCAGCTCCTTTGTGAACACCTTGAATAAGTGAATCTCGTTGAAAGGATCTCCAAATTAGACATAACACAGCAATTAGAATTGTAACTGGCTGCACAAAACTGACTCTCTTGAACACCTTCATTGTGAAAATCAAATACTTCCACCAAAAGGACAACGAAATGTTAAGAAAACATTTTCTAACTGGCCGCCATCATCATGAACGATGTGACCACCACACAACCGAAGCGAATACAACCTGATGGCGAGACTTATAAAACCAATATTTGCCGAAAAATACTGTAGCGACATCAAAAAACATCTTGATGAAAACGATCGCTGAAAACTAGATCAACACTGACTTCCTCTGAAAACAAATCGTTCAAATGAGGGGAAATTACGTTACCAAAACATCTTCCGAAATGATGGGCTCTCAAACTTCAGAAATAGCTTCGCCTTCCCAGAAGTTCGCATACTCATACTCAACTCCGCTGTGGATATTGCTCGCAATTAAATAGCTTTCTGTCGAGATTGGACGAAAACATCAAAAACAATTGCATGAACTGTAACGCTAGTCCGCGTGTCATACAAAACTTCTTTAAGTGTCCATCGAAACGAACGAATTGAAAATATGACGACCTGTGGGACAAACCCGTTGCAGTTGCAAAATGGTTCAAATACCAACATACCGGGGCTCATTCTGAGTTTTTCTCGGTTCTCCGCACTAATTAAAAACTGCCCGCTGAAACCGGGCACAGGAGTTTTGATCCCGGTTTCAGCGTACCAAAAACTGCCCCTTAGAACGAATTCTACTCAGTACTGTCAGAACGGGGCCTTCCGCTCTAAGCGAAGCCTTTTATAGCCACATTTACTGTTTGATGGAAGAGACGAAACAATCAATCTATCCGAGACGAGACGAAACAATCAATGGTAATTGAGCCATTTTGCAACTGCAACGGGTTTGTCCCACAGGTCGTCAAATTTTGTCCCACAGGTCGTCAGATCGGACACGAATTGGACGACCTTTCCTGTTACAGGAACAAATAACAATACAATACAGGTAAAAAACATTTTTAGTTCGAGCTCAGGGTAACAATATCTTTCAGATGGCTTAACAAATTTTTCTCAAAAACGCTTAGTTAAAAGAGGAAGTTTCATTGAACACAAATTCATTCAAAAACCGCCGAAGCTTAAATGTTTCGTCTTTTCTCCGAAAGTCGGAACAATTATGTGTAAGTTAATGTGAAATTTTTAAAATATATTTATTCATTTTTCTAAGTTTTTATCGAACTTATAACCAAATAGAACAAAGGATAGTCGGGGCTTTGCCTTGACACGAGCAATGTCGTTAGTTCATCATTCAACTTGTACGAAGCACTGGCCGCACATGGGGTTTGGGTGTTATGATACAATATGTGGTAAAATGAAATGTTATTCAAAATTTCAAATTTTACGTTTCTTTTGCCAAAAAATTTGGTTTTGGAATAAATCATGCAAACTGTTCGAAGTATAACAGAAAGCGATCCAGCTATTTAACCCTAACCAGATTTTTCTTAACTTCGTTTTAGATCACGAGGTGTCGGCTTTGTTCGACTCGACACTCATGGGAACGCTGAGAAGGCAATCGCCAGTCTGAACGGATACAAATTCCACGGATACCGAGAAAGACTCAATGTCAAGTTCGCAAACCCAAACGGAAGTGGGCCTTCCAGTGGCCATACAGGGCCTCACTATGGACTTATGACCTCGACTTCCTATTTCACTGCTTTAGACTGGGCCATGGCAGCTGCTCTCTCGACCACGAAGAAAATGCCACATGTCGGATCGGGTAAAAGGGACGGAGGAGACAAGAATGGAGGACAGGGGGAAGATAGGATCTCGATAGCAAATAAAAAGAGACCTCTTGTTACTGACGAACAAGGACTGCCGAGTCAGACGCCAGTTAATCAAAAGTTCCGAAAGGTCAGTTCATTAATGCTTTCTTCTATTTGCTACTATGAGCAAGATGTTTTTGGCAATTGGCTTATATATTTCTTCGAGGTAAATATTGTCCGGCTATCTTTTTAAACCAATCTAGTTCGAGCACGGTTATATCCTGTTCAGTAGCCAAATTTTTTTCAGCCTTTTGTCAAAACTTTTGCTCCCCCCGAGTTATGCGTTGCGCGACGTTTCCATTCGATTTGTTTTTTTCTCGAATACTTGGTTTCGAAATTTTTTTCTTTCGAATAATTGGAATCTTACTTGGTTTTTACCATTAATTTTAGATGCCTTTGTGCAACGTTGCCAGCTGTTTGAACCCAAACTGCATCTATGGATACCCGCAAAAAGTCAGTCAGCTCGGACCAACGCCACTCCCCTTGCCTGATGTTGGAACCCAAGGAGCTCCTCCTCTGAGCCCCAATGACACGGCTAACAATGTAGTTGGCGGGGGTGATGAAGCCGCGAATGTGAATAACTATGCTAGTCATCCACAGCTGGCGGCCATCAGTCACCTGCAACAGGTGAGAAAAGAGCTGTCAGCCGAAACTTGGTTTTTGGATGTTCGTCTGTTTTTGAGACCATTTATTCCAGGGTTACCACTTTTTCAGATTTTTCTGACCTGTCAGAAATGATCAGATTTGGTTAGTTTTTTAGCCCGTGGTCAGTAGAAGTCAGAATTCAATAAATTTGCCAGAAAACTTGGCTTTAGTGGTCTTACATTTAGAAATGGACTTAAATGCACAATGTTCGATGAATGCACAATAAATTCTTCGAGTCGTCCACAGAATTACTCAAATGATGTCATTTCTTCAATGCTGAAATGAGTAATTCATCGAAATTCATTGTTTGACGTTCAAAACTTTTTTGATAGTTCTAGGTTTTGTATGAAAAAGGCCAGTTTTTTGGTGATTTTGTCGGACAGATTTGTGATCTGAACAGAGTGGTAACCCTGATTTTTTCATATCACTCACATATTCACGAAAGGAGCTGTTCACCTTTAAGATAAGACCAGATTTGTTTGATTGAACCCTTTTTGTTTAAAACATCATTAGGGAGTGTCATCATTTAGGTGTGTGATTTAAATCATGAACCACTAAAAAACGTCAGATTAAGTTAAAGGATATATCATATTGAAGCATTTCTGTCGTCATACATATTTCTAAAATAAGTTTCAAAAAAATATCTCGAAGAAAAATGTTTTTTGAATTAATTGCCGTGGTCGGGATATTCTATGCCACTTGTCAGGCTGCTTTTACTAGGTATTGAACTAAAGATGTTTGCTCATACTACATGGAAAGTTTTTTAAGCATAGCCATTTTCAGACCTTATTTGAAGGACTTTCCAGAAATTGGGGTTTATTGGATCATTCCAAATGATTTTTTTGATCATTGTCTTAAAACATAAATTTTGGTAGTAAATCAACTTTGAAGCTATGCTGTTTACTGCCGTTTACTTGCTATCTAATTGTTACCACTTTCGTAACGGAATACTTGTGCTCGGGGTGGGTTTTTTTTTCTTCAGACAAATTTCGACTTTTTGACGGAATTTTTCTTATATAATCCAAAAGGTATTGTTGTCCTGAGCTTGAATTCGAAAAGATATTTTACCTGTGATCGTTTTTCGTAAAGTTATGGGGGTTTAAAGATTGACATTTTGGTCAATTTGGGACAATAAACGCGCGATATGTTTCGCGCTATTAACGCGTAAGCGGAGAGTTAATCCGTCTTTAAAAGCGTTCCATATTGGTTGAAAGAAGCTAATTTGCAATAATTGATTTGTTACTAGGAGCAAAATCTATCACTTTGTAATTTCTATGGCGTGTGGGGGATAATTTTCACAAAAATCTCAAATTTTATTTTTTTTTTCGTTTTATTTTGTTAAATTTAATTTTTCTTGTTATTACTGCTCCATAGACCTTAAAAGGCAGTTGGAACATTCAGGGCTTCGCCCTGATACGAGTAGTTTTGTATACTTTTGTAATGTTTTGTTTTTGTGTTAATTGGTCAGTATTATGGTTACTTTGGGCTGTGTTGCAATTTGGAATTGCAAATTATCTTTTAAAATCGTAAATCGAATTTGAATCCAATAGGAACAAGATAAACAAAACTGCTCGTATTAAGGCTAGGCCTTGAGTGTTCAGACTGCCTTTTATGGTCTATGGAGCAGTAATAACATGAAAAAATAAATGGAAAAAAAATACATCGCCCCACGCTCCATCTCATTTTAAAATATGATATTTTTGCAAAAATCATCGCCCCACACTCCATTTAAAGTACAAAGTGATAGATTTTGCTCCTAGTAACAAATCAATTATGGCAAATAAGCTTTCTTCAACAATTTGGAACGATTTCTTTGACGGATCAAATCTCCGCTTACGCGCTAATAGCGCGAAATACATTGCGTGTTTATTGTCCCAAATTGGGCAAAATGGCAATCTCTAAACTCGATAACTTTAACAAAAATGATCACAGGTAAAGTATATTTTTCATTTCAAGCTCAGGAAAACAATACTTTTTGAATGATATAAAAAAAATTTCGTCAAAAATGGCTAGTTAAAAAGTCGAAATTTGTCTGAAGAAAAAAAAACCCACCCGAGCACAAATATTCCGTTACTTTCGATACGAAAGTCAGAATAATAATTTGAGAACTAATTAAATTTTTGTATCAGGCGCATCGGCTCATCTTTCTAAATTATTACGATCCAAATTATCTAAATTATCCATTTTGAATCAATCAAATTTCCTTTTTGAAGGAAACTTGGTTGAATTTTATCTGCTCCTATCAGGGCGAGGCCCTGAATGTTCGGACTGCATTTTAAGGTCTATAGAGCAGTAATAACATGAAAAACTAAAAGTAAAAAAATTAAAATACATATTTTTATAAAATTTGAGATTTTTGCGAAAATCATCGTCCCAATTTTTAACTATCCAATTTGAATGAGGACTTTAGCCGAACCCTGAAAATTTCATTTATCATGCATCCACAGATTAAAAGCTTCTTTCCAAAATAGGGACGTTTCAAAAACTGGGGGGCTGATAAAATATTGGCCGGTGAGCATAACTTTTCGTTGCAAAGCTTTTTCCTTTGGTAAAATTTTTGGTTCCGCTACAAAATATGAAATCGAAATCTGTGAATCACCTTAATTATAGAAAAACTTTCTTCAAGTTAATTTGGTAAATCAAAAAACAAATGGTCGGAACTAGTGTTATGAGGTAGGTTTGTTTTTTGAAATTGGCGCGCTGAGCAAGTAAGTCAACTTTCAGTTTGAAAATTAAACTGTTATTTTATATTTTTTCTAGGTGCAGTATCTTTCATATGCTCTCTATCAGCAACAACAACAACAACAAGCAGCCTCTTTGGCCAACATGGGGTATCTTCTAAGCTACGGCAGCAATACTCTGCCACTTGCCCACTCACCCAACTCAGCAGCTGAAATACCCTACCCATACAAAATCATGCCTACAATACTTGCCAGCAAACTGAAAGAAGATATCGCGAGTCTGAATCCCAAAACGAATGAACAAAATCAGTCGAATGTCAGTGAAATGAAAGTGAAATGTGAACCGGAAACGTCTCAGACACAGGACGTGAACAAACAGGTCGCCGCTCAAAGAGCATCGCCGAATCCGTTCGCTTATCCTTCTTCGAATAACGAACCACTACAGCAATCTCAACTCGTTACGTCCGAGCTTCTTTTTGCTGAGCCGCCTTCAACGCTTGGAACGACTCAGTTTCCGTCGAAATATTTCAACGCCGAGTCTTTGTTGCGAGCTCAACATAACCAACAGATTGCAAACATTCCTTGGCTATCAATGGATAGCCAGTATCTACAAAGAGACAGTAAGTCTCAGTTTCTGAATGCTCATTATGGAGACCCGAATAAAGTACAGGTTCAAAGCAACTCAATGAGTCCGCTGCCGCTCAACCCGAATTCACCAATCACCCCTCATTCACCCGGCTACTTTGGGTTCGGCTTCCCAAATTTCATGTCAACTGCTAGTTCCGAAATCTCCCCAACTACCCCTTTGGTGTCTTCTGGAATCGAACAGCCGACCACATTTGGATCCTATAATGCCGGAAGCTTGAGTAGTCCAGCTCCTGTCCTGACAGCAGCCGGAGTTCTGGGAAGCTACAATTTTGCCAGCTTTTTGCCACAAACGCCACTCATTTCACCTTCGGTTTTCAACAACGCATTCAGAACTATGCCAATGGGAGAGACAAGTTTCAAAAATTTATCTGGATCCTATTTGCCGTCACCAAGTCCTTACGTTGTTGCGAATCCCAAAACACTATCGCCGGGCAGTGGAAATGAGTTATTTGTGTTGTTACGTAACATTCCACTAAGTCTTCCAGACGCCGATTTGAAAAGATTATTCGAACCACTTGTTCAAAAACTGAAAGGGTTTAACAGGAACAACACGGAGGCCAAACTGATGTTTTGTTCACTCGAAGATGCTCTGAGCTGCGTGAACTCTCTTAACGGAATGAAATGTTACTCAAACATTCTAGAAGCTTCGCTTGTGCCAGTTGCTAGCACATTGCTTTGAGAAAAGAAACGCGAAACCGAAATTTCCAAGAAAAACTCAGCTGAGCTGTTCTTATTCTATTTCTTCTTTATCTGCAGAGTTTAGAGTTTTATTGTTCAACATTTTCATTTTCTACTTAAAAGTTTCTGTTTGTGTTCAAATGTGCTTTTGAAGCTCATAAAAATTTATAAATTATTTGTAAGTGATAAAGTTCTTGTTTCTAAGTGCTGTTCGTTTGTTATTTCTCAATGTTCGTTTTGTAAGATGTTTTCTTATTGATAAAATGAAAAACTTTTTGTTTGTTGATCTTTTGCTGGCGCATGAAAGGATCTACCGAAAACCTAGAAATTAGGCTTATTCGACAGCAACAGTATAATAGGCAAATCGGACGATGGTTTCAGTCGAAAAACGGCAATATAAAACCAAACAGTTTTTTGTTTCAATGTTTTTGCAAAGATATTTTTGAGATTTTTTATTCTAAGATAGCGTTGAAAAAATTAGGACACTAGGACAATTTAAAAAAGTTTTTAATCTGAATCGAATCAGGGCTAATCATGGTTTTAATTTGATATATCACTCCACACATTACGATTATTAATTATGGTAAATGTTTTTGATTGAAAAACAACCCAAGCTGGTGCTCGCTGGCTTTACTCTTTCGGAAATAAACGAAAAATCACAGTTTTCAAACCGGTTTCCTCCACACGGAAATTTTTTAATGTCGCTCAAATCACGATTCAAAAGGTTTAAACATAATTTAGCACTCAGCGAAGTCTGATCGTACCTGATTTTACGTGGAAAGCAAAAAAAAAACCAGAAGAATACAAAGTTTCTCCCCATTTTCAATGCTCGGATCAACAACTGCGGGTTGCTGTGCACGTAGCACAGAAGGTTCGGAAGTAGGTGTATCACGCTAGTCTAATTGTATCAGGGCACAGTCTTATTTTTGTGACTGCTATTCATTCAAGGTGCCTTGCTTCGGTTAATAAGTTTCGAGTAACAGTTTTATAAAAAGTTTTTTGAAATGTGTAAAATGTTTTAGAAAGCATATTTCTAATTTGCATCTAGTAGCACCTTGTTGTATTCAACTAACCTGCCTCACTTTATTTTTAATACTTGTTAAACAGGAAGAATTTATTGCATTTGCTACGCAAGATGCTAATAAGTTTACGGCATTAATTATACCAAATTGGATATGAAAAAAAAAATCAAACAACTTTTCTGCAATAAAACTTTCAAAAGTTCTGATAACAAAATAATGGAAATTACCGAAATAAATGTCTACAGAACAAGCACCTAAAAGTTCGAACTGATTTTGTCTGAAGATGGACAATTTTTGGTTCGGTACATAACTTGACCCAACAAACTATATCGTGCTTTCAAACTAATATCATTTGAGAAAGGAACAACTGAACAGATTAAGCATGGTCTGTGATATTTGAGCGTCGTAGTGTTGACTGAGATCTTATCGGTTTAAGTTTGAACAAAATGGTTACACTATTTTTAGCTGATTAAGTAATATTGTTTTTTTTTGCAATTTTTGATGCAGGGGACGGACTATTTGTGCTTGGGGTGGTTTATTAGGCAAATTTTGGTTTTTCAATAAGTTATTTAGGCGGAATATTTTATTACTAATTAAAGGGTATTGATGTCTTCGGTTGTAATTTATCACATAATAAGGAGTAATTCAACCTGAATCGATTTGGATTTTCGTGATAGACAATGTATGAATTTTGAAAGCCCTTCTTTCAGTCAGTGAAAACCCTTCAATTAGTGTAAGGAGTGTTGGAAACGTAAGCTGGAGGCGTTTATTTTTGCGACTTTTGTTGAAAGCTGGTGATTATTTGTGCTCTGGTGGTTTCTCTTTAGCGCCATATGGACTTTTCAACTAGCCATTTTTGACGTGATTGTTTTTTATTATCTGAAAACTACTATTGTTGTTAATTCAAATTAAAAACACAACTTCACCAGTGTGAAATTTTGTGAAGTGTGAAAATAGTCATGAGGTTTGCAAATGGCCACTTTGGTGTAAGTAATGCGCGATATATATCGTTTTATAAGGTTTAACAGAGAGAAACTATATGATTGAAAAGTTCTTCCAATCTGAAATGAGACAAACAAATTTGTCTAATTTTTGCTTCAAATGTTGTATAAGGTAACGGAATTTTTTGCTTGTGGTTTGTTTTTTTTCAGTCATATTTCCATTTTATAAGATTTTTTGACAAAAAATTTCTTGATTACTTTAAAAATTGCATTGTTTGAGCTTAAAGTTATTTCGATTTTTACGTGTCATCAAATTTTGTAAGGATTTTTGATTTTGAAAATTGCTAAGGTGGCCAATTTGGAAGAATTAACACGTGAAAGAAAAATTTGGTCTGAAAATACCTTTTGAGGCGTTGAAACAGTTTTTTTGTATTTTAACTAGCGTGTGGATGGATGCAAAGAAGACAAAAATGGACAAAAAATTTTCAATTTTTTCTTTTTTTTTGCTAATATTTTATCAAAATTGTAAAGCGAAAAACTTTCGTTCAGCTATAAGGGGTAGTTGGAACATCAAAGTTTTGCTCTGATATACTAGCAGTCTTGTTGTTTGTTCTCTAGTACTAACAATTTAGCTTTTTCGAAAACAATTTTTTCTTTTGTAACAAAAATTGAATGGTATCGAAAACTAATCTTTCCTTTATAAATTTGAAATTTAATTAACTTTTCGAAAAAATTAAAATATTAGTAAGCAAAAATTGCCAATTGCTGCACAGAAAGCATAGAATATGTTGTCCAGAATCATTTTGCTACGAAATTTTTATAAGAGTCCACTGCTGCATTTTTTGACAATCAATAAAAAAGTCTTAAAAATGTTGTTTTAAGTCAACGCTCCTGCTGTCAAACTTTTTAGGTACAAAAATAGTTTGGTTAAACATTCTGCACTGGTTTGGTTAACCAATCTACTGTTGATTTGATTCATGTGTTCGATTGATTTAGGCTTTTTTTTTACAAAAACGAAGAAAAACCCTTACAGAACCAGCGCGAAAACCGAAAAACTTTAAAATAAGAAACTGTATAACAACTTATGCGAGCTGCATTAAGGATGCTCTATTTATTCACGATGCAACAAGGGTGGACAAGGAAAATTATTATACAATTTTGCAACTCGATCTTCAAATGTTGTTTTTCTTGAAATATTTGTTTTTTGGTAACACTTGTCTTCTCGAGAACATGTGATCAGATTGTTCAATACCAATTGGGGCTCTGTCGAACGACATTTTGCGTCTTTATAAAGTGTGTGCTGACGTTTCCTGGATTAAATTGTCGTTTTTTAATGAGAAGCTAGCAACAAGTTTTGGTATTTTCAGACTTTGCAGACCACGGCAATGTGCTCGCGACTGGCGCAGCCGAAAGAAAAGTAACCGCAACCGGTGCAATCAAAAGAAAAATGATTGCGACCAGCGCGACCAAAACGAAAGTGACCGCAACTGGCGCGACCAATGTCTTCTATTTATGTTTTGACAGACTCGGTCAAATTTTGGTTTGTTTCAACCGACTCAAACCGATCTCGATATATTTTTGCCATCTTGACTCAACCTATTTATGTTACAACCATGTTAAAACTTTTCAACCAAACTCGGTCAAAAACTAGCTTCCAATTGAAGTTCGACCAAAGAAAAAATTTTCGACTGAGTTCAACCGAGCAAAACAATTTCGTCTGAAAATAAAATTGACCAAAGAGAAACGTTTCAACCAGTTTCGACCGAGCAAAAACAGGAGCACCAATTTTGAAAGAAGAGTTTTTCCGACTGAGAAGAATTTTGATGAAGAAAAAATTGTTCGTACGATTTCAACCACAAAAATTGTTTTGTCCGAGTTAAAACAAAAAAGTTTTTGACAGATACTGATAGTTTGTAACGATGGTATATATTTGCACGCGTCAAAATCCATTTTAAACTTGTGAAAATTTATCTGTAAAAAATTAATTGCTGCTTTCAAAAGTCAAATTATGTAGCTAACATCATTGCAGTTTTCATTGATGTTGAGCTTTTGAAAAATGTTCCCAGAGTTTGCTGCTATTTATCATTGTGGATGCTCTGTAATATAATGCACTCTGACCTAAAATTTAAGTTGTCATGTTGTTTAGGTTGCAATTGTTGTTCACCGTTAATAAAATAATGGCAAAACACAATTTCAACCTGAAGGTCATGACAGCTCAAGCTCCTTGTCAGAGTGCATTAAACTGCAGAATTTTTAGAAGCAACGAGTTATGCTTAAAAAAATCAATTTTGCAAAAGTTTATTGCACCACTGCAATAAACGGCATTGATATTTACTGCATAACAATCATTTGAAATTAAGATTGTAAATAATTTGACTTTCGAAAGGAGCAAATTATTTAATGATGGACTTTGACGCGCTAAACTGGATGAGGTCGCGTAAGTTAATTTTATTGTTTGACATAAAAATCCCTGTGGACTTTGTTTGTACATATTGAGTTGATTCCGATTGTTGGCTATCTCATAGAGTAATAAAAGATTAATTACGCCGTCTGTTGATCACACTATCTGATTTTTGGTCGGATAGTTTCGTGCAACTTCCTTGACCAATGCGGGTCTTTTTCTAATTCTTTTTCTCAGTAGATCCTAATAGTTACCGGAAAAGCGATTAGTTGGAGAGTAATTTTATGTACTGTCATACAAAGTTGATCCGACTGTAAACAGCTATACGTATACAGTGCTGATTTAAATTATCCGGACAAATCGAACAAAACTTGAATTTTCAAACGCGTTTTTCTCAAAGTGGGTTAAGATTAGACAAAAAGTGAAGAGAACAAAAGTTGCTTAGAATTTCACCAGAATTGATATGGTGCCATTTTTTCTCCAAAATTCTCAACAAAAATTTTAACCCCAAAAATGGGTCATTTTGGCTTTTTTCAAATCAAGAATTACGCGGAAATTACATTGTTAATTGATAAGAAAATTATATCACAGGAAGCCTCTTACGCAGCTCAACAATGTTTTAAAAGGGTTAAATCTC